CTCTCTCTCTCTCTCTCTCTCTCTCTCTCTCTCTCTCTCTCTCTCTCTCTCTCTCTCTCTCTCTCTCTCTGTTTCACATGTCAGCACCCCTCCTGCCTATGACTTTGTTGTTGTAATGCGAAGTCTCAAACCTATTCTTTTTTCTTTTTCTTTTTGTGCAACTTCGCATTACAAAAAAAAAGGGGGGAAATAAAAACAACCGACAAGATGAGAGATGTTGTTGTGTGTACCCACTCCGTTGTTGCCACAAGGGTAAGGCTTTCTCGTCTTCCGGACTCTCACCAGACAGAGGAAGAATGGTCACAATGGATAGAAGAACTGAGGACTCAGTGAAATGGCACTGAATGCACATATGATGGTGTGCATTAAGTCCCCAGACTGCACATGTGTGACCCCAATAACTGGAAATTTGAGGGAAATGTTCATTTACTGTACAGTAACTACATTTAATTTACTACTACAGTACTACTCTGCTCTGCTGGCGAGGTTACCCCCGGGTAAACACAAACGAAGACGAAGACTTCATGCAGTTCAGATGGAGGGGGGGGGGGGGGGGGGTAATTTACTCATGCTCGCACGACCTACCACGTAGACCTACGACGTAGTATAGTACCGCCACCGTCAAGGTCACCAGCTCAGATGGATGAAGGGTAAACACACGTAACTGTGAATCATGAATAGATCATGAGTTCGAACTTCGAGTACGTATAGGGCTAGCCCCTTTTGGAAAAGAACAGAGTCAAGGAGGAGGTGGGGGGTGGTAAACAACACATTCAATTTGGCCCTTCTGCAACAACCCTAAGCTTCTGTCTGTGCAGCAGTGTAAGCCCTGTGTGTGGGGGGATTCATCCAAGGCTCCACAAATATTGTGAAGTGACAATGTTTTTTTTTTTTTTTTTTTTTTTTTTTTTTGTCAGTGTCCTACAAATAGGAAAGAAAAGGAAAGAAGGGAAAAAAAAAAGAATGCTTGGGTTGTTCGACAGTTTCACAAAAAAAAAAAGGAAAGAAGGAAAAAAAAGAAAAAGTTCCACGATAAAAAAAAAAAAAAGTTGCATGTTAAAAAAAAAAAGAAAAAAAAGTTGCATGTTTGGAGAGTTTTCACAAGCAGTAGTAAGGTAGTGCGATAGGTGGTCCCCTATGTGTTATATTCGGAGATCAGCATTCCCTCATGCATGATGGGCTTGTTTGAGACGCATAGAGTCATGGAAGATTGTGCTGCACAATGCACATGGGATATTAAGTGTGTATGCGTACTATGAGGCTCGTTGAGGATCGACGACAAGCAATCTTATTAATGATGAATCTACTATTATTGCCTCTTGAATCATGATGCTTGTGTGCTTGCGTGCTTGCTCGCTTGCTTGCTCGTTGTTTCATTTCGTTCTCGAGATCTCTGTGGAATCTGTGGATCTATAATCTAATATGATTGCCTCTTCATGCTTGATTGTTTGTTGTTGTTTCATTTCTTTCTCTATTGAATTCTAGTCTTAAAAAAAAAAAAAAAAAAACTACGTGCAAATCATGGAGTTGCATTATGTATTTGAAAGCTGCATCTTGTGACAGCTGGCACATTTATCGGGTTAAACGGCTATGGATAGTACCTCTCTCTTGCTGGTTCTTGTCCAGGTACACGGTATGTGGCACATCGTCACTTCCTACTTCTCAAACCGATACCCTTCTTTCGGAGATACCTTCATAGCAATGACGGGCGTCGGGCTTCACTTCCCCTTCTTTATCTTCCTTGTACTTGTCTTGCACTTTGGACAGATTAAGGAGGAGGAGGAGGAGGAGGAAGGAAGGAAGGAAGGAAGGAAGGAAGGAAGGAAGGAGCAAGGAAGGACTGACCCAGATTATTTCTCATTTCTCCAGTTTTGAACCTCCTTCTTCTTCTTCTTCTTCTTCTTCTTCTTCTTCTTCTTCTTCTTCTTCTTCTTCTTCATCTGCGTCTGTCTATCTTTCCATCCTGAGCTCTTCTTCTTTTTTTTTTTTTTTTTTTTTTTTTGATGTTTTGCTTTTATACCCGGTTGCATGCATAAACGAACTCCAACTTCAGTATATTTGCGATAACACGAAGTCCCCTATGGCTTCCCTATCCGAATGTTTGCTGATGAGTGTGATGCTGTCGCATGTCAACTTGCTACTACTAGACTTCTTCTTCTCTTGTCATGTCTTGTCTTCTTGTCTTCTTGTCTTCTTGTCTTTTTTTTTTTTTTTTTTTTTTTTTTGTTTGTTTGTTTGTACTACTGAAGGAAACAACCGTTCTTGTGTAACGCCCCGTGCGAGACCCGGTTCCCACCTCGGTGAACTACCGTACACAGGCGGCCGATGCGACCGGTGTCAGGGAAACCGGCCGGGCCCAGACGAAAGCGTGGGGTGAACAGTCCAGGCGGGGCCCAGACGGAAGCGTGGGGCGAAGGCGACGATCTCCGAAAGAGAGAGCGCTGTGGCGGGGGAGACAGAGTGGAGCGTACGCGTGAGCGCTCACACACACACACACACACACACACACACACAAACAAACACACACACACACGCACGCATGCGCACAAACAAGTGTGGCAGTGTATATTTCCATGTTCTAGCGATAGATTCATTCGATTTTGCTCACCCGATCGATGAAAGTACCCTCTCTCTCTCTCTCTCTTAGGTCTATCCGTCGCTTCAGGAGCGCGGGCTCGATCAACACCAAAAAGCTCACGATCATCGGCACCCTTCACAGAATCGTAGCAAATACGTATTCGCGAGAGGACATAACAACGGTCTTAAAGTTGCAAGTTACGGAGCTGAAACTGTATCCGAACGGTCATTCTGGCGTATATCAAGAGTTGCAAAGACAAAGACGTACGGGATGTATTCATCAAATTCCTGGAGAACGAGGACAAATACGAGACAAACAGAATGAGAAAGCAGTGATGTAAAATATTGTAAAATATTGTAAAATATTATAAAATATTATAAAATATTGTAAAATATTGAAAATATTGTAAATAACTGCACTTAAATAAAGGTTCCGAAAAATCCAGACCACGTACAAAAAATCAGCAGATAAGTACGTACCTAATAATACGACGGAGCCAAACAAAAACGAGAAACAAAAAACAAAAAACAAAAACAGACCAGGATTAGCATATAATTCCTTGTAAATTGAAATAAAAGATAATAAAATTAAAAAATAAATAGATAAATAAATAAAATAAAATAAAATAAAATGAAAATAATTAGACTAAAATAAAATAAAATAAAATAAAATAAATTTAAATTAAAATACGAAGAAATCTTCCCGATTGAAAAAACTAGGGCATGTAAAATATAATGCAAGAAGAAACATGACGCAAAGAATTGTAGCACTAGGACCAGAGTGGGATAGGTACATGGATGAATCCACGGAAGATATTCAATGAAGAAAATGACGAAAGAGTATTTTTCCGTGAAGCAAGGATGAGCCAAAAATTGGAAAATACGGAGGAGGGATTGGTAACAAAATAGGATGGAATTATAAGCACATAGAAAGGACTACGGGATTTTTCGTTGGAAGCAAAAATGAGTCGGCTGAAATTGTAAAATACGAAGGAGGGACTTTAGAAAAATGCGATAGGATTTATATCCAGATACAAAGGACTACGGGATTTTCGTCAGAAGCAGGGAGGGTTCAGGTGAAATTGTAAAATATGGGGAAAGGGAGTTTTCTGAAATTTAGGATGTTAGTTATATCCAAATACAAAGGAC